AACTTTCTCTCGTAGATCAAAATGCTCCTCTAAATGTGCTTGTAAACCAATCAGAAAGCTTATGAATCACAAGTAGGGCCGACTTTCCAATGTTAATTCAAATAGATTAGATTTCAATTCAAACTCTTCTACACACTGAAAAAAATACTTAAACATTTTTTCGTAGGATGTTTATTTCGTAGAAATATTCACAGAAATTTTTGTAAAATAAATTTTATATCCCACGGAAAGAAATTTTCAAATATTTTTTTCTCAATGTAGAAAAGTTTAAATCTAAATTTAAACTATCATTAAAAAATTGGCTGTAAATTTAAGATTTATAAGTTTTCTAAGACTGGTTTATTTTTTCTAATTTGTTTATTTCGCAGAAATAAATTTTATTTCGCACAAATAAACTTTGTTTCTCGAAAATTAAATTTATATCCCACAAATAAATTTCAAGTAATTTTTTTCTTAGTATAATAACGTGTTTGATGTGTTTTTGTGGGCAGAATTTAAATTCAAATCTAATTTTAAACTATTATTGAAAAATCGACCATTTTTTATCGATAAAAAATAGGTCAGAATAAGGCCCTGTACGCTCTGTCTATCTATCTGTCCGTCTGTCTCGTCGCTGAAGAGGAAATAACGTTTTCACTCGTTTGAATTTGTCTTCTAGGTCAGCCGGAGGAGAAAGGAGAAAATCTCGAAAATGCGATCGACTCGCACGGACAGATGAGGTTCTTCGACGAGCTCGGACGTGAGTGACGTTATTATGTTGCACGAATTACGTTACGTTATTAGCGCACTGAGTGAAATACGCGCAGCGGTGTTTTCCCGGCGAATTACGCGATTGAGCGTAACCGCTGAGGAGGAGTTAGAGCGAATTTTAAGGATCGTTTCGAAAGAGAAAGGCCGCTCGCGTATACCACTCTGAATAATAAATGAATCTCTCTCGACACGGTCGCGTCGAGTGTCGAGTGTCAAGTGACGGCGGACAGAGGATCCGCGCCGCCTTCGACACGCTTCCACTTTCGTAATGTGTTTAAATATGATTTAAATACAATAGCCCTCAAGTGTGCTTGATTGTCGCGCGTAACGCTTCGGCGCGATCGAAACGGCGGACGATGCTAATACCTGGCTTCCCTCTCTTTGAATAATTTTCATACGTCACGCGACGTTAAGCGACAGAGCAACGTGTAATAATTTGCGAAGAATGGGGAATTCATTCGCTAGGTCGATTAACATAAATTAATAATCAAGAACGTCGTTTTGTGAAAATTATGGCAATGATGAAAAGTTAAATAATATATTTTTACGTGATTTCCTTGTTAAGAAGTTTGGATAAGGATATATTGTGTTCTCAAGTTCATCTTTGTTCACGCCGCGCACAGAAAAATATTCTACTGCTGAGAAAAGTGATTACTCACACTGAAAGAAAAATATTTGGTATTTATAATTATAAACGTGTTAAGAAATAATTACAATAAATTATGACCAAGACAACTATTTTCTTGGCCAATTGTATTATAATCTTAATGATAATAATCTTATATGCATGTTATTACTACTATCTTTGTGTTGGAACAACCAAAAATATAGTTTAGGATCAATTTGATGCCAACTATGTTCCAACACAAAGATAATAATTATATAACATGCATATAACATTATTATCACTAACGATTATAGTATAATTGACTAAAAAATATCTTGAGGATAATTTATAGTAATTATTTTTCTGTATGATTATAGTTACAAATATCAAACATTTTTTTGCTCAGTATAGCTTGTTTTTGTTTAAGTAATAATTATCTTCAGCAAAGAAGCACTTTCTTGATAATACAAAGGAAAAAAGGTTAGTTGGATTAGATTAGTCAATTTTTTATAAAGATATAAACGATTAAGAAATTTCGATTAAAGTTATAAGAATTCAGTTTAAATTACCAAATTTTCTGTTTAACTCAAACAAATTCTGGTAATTTCAATCGAAATTTCTTAATCGTTCGTGTCTCATCGAAAATTGTTTTATCCAATCAAACTTTTTTTTCCGCGCAGTCTTGAAACACATTCATCGAGATTTTTAGAAAAGCTCATTGTCATGCACTCAAAAAAAAATTATAATATTCTCCTCATAAGAATATATTATAAAATTTTATCAAAGGAGAAAGCTCTACTCAATTCTACCTAGTAAACAAATGGAAATTTTTATATCAATTTCTTGAATAAAATGCTAAACCTAGAATTCAAAATGTATCTTCAAAAAATGACGTTTATAATCACCTTATGCGAAATTCGCGATATAAATTTACGAAATATTTACATCAAGTGACATTTATTCGAATGCAATATGTATTCTTCTGTGTATGATTAAATTTATCGTTTATGATTCTCAATAACGCTGATATGTTAATTAGATGATTTGATAATTAAAATATTATTTAAATACGAATATATTAGCGCATGTGTTCGCATAATGAATAGAGCAACCATCGAAGTGATGCGTATCGGGATGGGATTTAAAGCAGTAAACCGGTTCACGTTCACCGGATATTCGTTTATAAAACTAAGGCAACATGACCTATATCTTTATCCGACAGTTTTCATTATTACCGCGCGCGATAATTATATACAAGCGAGACGCGCGACTCCTTATGCATAAATCCGGCTGCTCAATTTTGCGAAATTAAGTATTTTATCCGAGTGACAGCACAGTAAATAGTAAGAGAGAGAAAGAGAAAGAGAGAGAGAAAAGAGAGAGAGAAAAGAGAGAGAGAAAAAACGAGAAAAAATTAATCAAGATTATCGTTCGAATATTCGAATTTCGTCGTACAAAAAGAAGACATTCGTTATAGTACAGAATGTAAAGTCAAAGATGTTATAAAGACTATTATTTAAAATTATACAAAATATGAACTTTTTGTTTTGCATCAACCGATTGTTATCGTAGATAACGTCATTTGTTAATTCTTTAATTGTTAACATAATAGTTTGTAGCATCTTTAACTTTACACCGTGTATATATGCAGAGTGTCTGACAATTAATAACACACCTATTGGTTCAGATAGAACTTATCATACTGAACAAGGGATTTCTCTGCTATTTCGCAAATAACCACGTAAAATTTTGAGTTACTAATCAAAGAAAATTGGTGAATATTTAGACGCGATGACTTGTGCGATGGCATTTTTGTCGTATGTTTTATGCTTCCTCTAGACAGAATTGGAACAAAGCATGATGATTCCAAATTAGTCTGCGTCTTGCCCATCATTTATAGAGATGACGTAAGTGGGAATAATAGAGAAACTCTAGTGGGAATGAAACAGAAACTCTCTAAAACTGAAATGACAAAGCACGCTGCAGCTTCTCTCTCACTCAATTAAATTTTCTCCCTACAAATGGTGGACGATATCCTAATTCTGACCTGAGAAACTCTAATGTATTCATATTTTCGATCAAATTGAACAAAAAAATCATCTACCATTTTGCAAATAACCACATAAATTTAATTAGTTAATGAAAATTTAAAGAAAATTGGTGCAAATTGATAGTGCGCAATGATCTTCTTTAATTAATAACCAAAAATCTATGTAGTTATTTGCAAAATGGTAAAGGATTTCTCCGTTCAGTTTGACCGAATGTATAAGCACACAGCGGCAGAGGTCGCCATATCACACAGCTCATCTGCCGTGTCACGCGTGATCACATGCATTCGCTAATTTCCTTAATATAACTCAAAATTTCACGTGATTGTTTGCGAAATGGAGATCTTGTGCTCAGTTTGATAAGCTCCACCTGCACAACGGATGTATCATTAACTGCCAGACAGAAATACACACATTGTACACAGGAACATATTTTCTTCTTAAAGAAGAAGTTACAGATATCCTTCGAGCGATTTGCGCCTCGATGTTTCATTCGGTTCATCCGACGTTCTCTCGCGACGCGATATTTTCCATCGCGAACACGAGGCGCAGCAGGATTTCGAGATTCACAGTTGAGTTAACAAGGGAGACGAAATCGGAATCGTACTTGAAAGGCCACTTACTGACGCTTACTTTCTACAAGAATATTTATAATGAAACGGGCGGGGCGGAAGCACCGTTTTCACTGCGACCTCGGCGCGTCCCCGTGCTCTGTCGTTAAAAGCGTTTTACCCGATGACATCCTTTTTTTCTTCTTCCCTCTTTCCTATTACTGCTCACGAGACAAGGCTCAATACGCGGAACGCGAGTTGCTCTCCCTGCGCGTTTTGTAGATGTGCATTAATTCAATCGTCTTGTCGAGATTTCGCGCTGCTGATAATGTAAGCGTAATTAATCGGGACTCGAGCGTCTGTCTATTGCATTTTCACTGCGAATGAGAGCTTGTCCACGAGCGCAATTGTTCGAAATTCGCGTATCTAAATATTACACACGGTTTCCGCTAACAACTCGTCCCTTCTTAAACGCTCCCGACGAGACAATTCCTCAACGTTCGCTTAGTCGTTTAAATCTTTATCTTCGAAAGCAAAAATAGTTTTAGTGAAACCGCCCAACGAAATCGGGTTCACGAAATCTTGGCATATCGAATTTGCTCGACGTAAAAAGCCGTTCAGCGATTAGTCAATTGTGTTGATATCGAGTAATTTCGTGTAATCCTGTCTCTTATTCGTCACAGACTGATGTAAATCGATCAGATTTATAACCGGTCAGCGAGTCGTATCCCGCAGTATCTGCACAATTCGAGCAATTATTTTGGTCCCGAGAGACGACAATCGAGAAGGAGGCCCCGATTACGATTTGCCACTTTCGCGACGAATCCCGAATGTCGAGTGGGAGGTATGATCGCACTGAGTTTCCCGGTCATCTAGAATACGACAGTTCCACCGCGACGGAATAATTCCACGGAGAAAGAAATGGAAAATAAGACGCACCGCGTGCTCTTCGTCGATGACGGAGAAGGTGGGGAACCAATGTGAGACCAAGGGACGACACCGTCGCCGTTGCGGGAAAGCTGACGCCGGTGAAAGCAGCGGACGCCTCCTTAGATCGTGATCGAGACTCGTGAGACATCGGCTTAAGCCAGTCCACGTGCGGAAAGCGTGCACCGTCGCGGCTTCCTCGCTTCACCTTGGTGAAGGAGCGCGCTTTGACCCTTTTCGTGCGTCTGACCCTCGGCCCACCGGACACGAACGCGTCGTCGATCACGGAGGAGGAGCCCTTGTCATCGGTGTGATTGCTCGCGGAACGTCCGGTGAACTCGCGAAGAAACAGTCTAAGAAGGATCAGCGGTGCCGAAATGGCGGAGTTCGGGTCTGAGCGAAAGACTCGGCCGAGGTTCTGTGCCGGAGCTCACGATGAAGTCGGAGATTTGTGAAGAAAGTGGACCATGAGTGAAACCGGAGCTCGTAGTCGAGGATTCACCGTCCGGAACTGACTGGTGATAGAATAATATCGAGCGCGGTCGGAACTCATTCAAAGCGAGCGCCAATCGGCCGAGTCGGAGCTTGATTTGAGCAATTTCAATTCTGTGCATTTCTCAAACATTATTGCAAGAGTGAAGAAGCTAAACTTCCGAGATCTAAAATAAGGTTCGCAGAGTCCACTTCGGCACGCGATTGAGTTCTTCCTCGAAGAACGTTCCTCGCACTTCTTCATCGAAGGTCGATGACGAAGCGGGACGGGCTGCTTCTCTCCACGGCCCTCTTTCCTAAGACTCTCAAGTGCACGGTGAGCCCGTGATGCCGCGCGAGGCATCCTCGAAGTGGTAAGCGGAAGTCGCAGAAGATCATGAAGATCGCGCTCGCGCTGTGCCTCATCACCGTGGCGAGCGCACTCGATCACAATGACGTCTACTCGTGGAACAGACGCAGGGAGAACTTCAAAGTCGCGCCGATCAAGGCCAAAGAGACCCGCGCGCTGAGGCCGACGATACCTGCCGCGCAATCGATTCGCAGATCGAGAACGTCGAGCCCGTTCGCGGGCGATACTCTGCGAAACTCACCGAGAAGACACGCCATCGCGGAGGACGCGGATGACGAGCAACCGGGTCTGTGGAGCTCCGTTGCCGTCAGGACACGGCAGGATCTGGCGCGCGAGAACCGAGCCATCGAGAGCAACCTAAAGAACGTGATCAGCAGACCGTCCCTAGCTAAAGTCGAGCAGTACCAGTACTTCTCGAGCTTTCCATACAACGACGACGCGTCCGTCGACATCACATTGGAAAACGCGGAACACCCGAAGAGCGCGGCGCTCCTGTCCAAAGACGCCGCAGATCACTTCATGGAGCACAACGCGGAGGAAGTGGACTGGAGCGCGCAGGATATATTCGAGAAGGACACCCTGAACAAAGAGAAGGAGCAAGTGGTGGAGCAGGAGAGTGAGGAGGAGCAAATAAACGTCCAGGACTTTCTGGACGAGATCAGACGCAGGAGAGTAAACGGGGAACTCGAAGGATTCACGACGGGAGGACACCGGCAAGGCAGACGGAGGAAGCTCACCAGCCAGCAGCAAGGCGCGCTTCTGGTGGAGACGCTAAAGAAGAAGCGAAACCACACCAGTGATCATCGGGGACACAGCTCCAACCTGCAGAGCGGCATTATGGATATGCTGGGCAGAAGTATGTTCGCGGGGCGCGGAAATGGGATGGAAGTATCGTCAGTATTCGTAATCGTCAGAATGACGAGCGGATAGCGTCGAATTGCCAATTGATCCTGCCCGGAATACGAAACACAGAGATCGGAAAACGCGAAATTGTCGAGTGCGTACATGGGGAAAAGAATTGTAGCGCAAAATCGCAACAAAACTTTTGCAATCTTTGATCGTACAGAATTATGAGCAAAACTATATATTTCTTTCAACTACTATATATTTCTTTCAACTACTATATATTTCTTTCAAAATGTTACTCGCCTTTGATTTTTTATCGCAAAATTACTGTAATCACTGATATATTTTTTTATATCGTAATCGTATCGTAATCGTAAATTTTTTTATATCAAATCGTAAAATTTATTATATCTCTGTAGTGATTCATACTACAATTATAGTCCACATTAAGAAAAAAATATCCAAGAAATAACAAATATTTATTCGGTGGGTATATAAATAATAACATGTTTATTTTTATATACTAATATAAAACATTTTTGAAATAAGAAAATATACATTTTCTTAAAACCTTAGTTTTCATGAAAGCAATTGTTTATTCTATTTAAATGAAAGAGAAAATTTGAATTTAAGTAAATATATTATATTATATATTATTCACTGAATAAATATTACTTATTTATTTATTAGACATCTTTTCTCAATACAGTTTTATAAAAAGTATTGCAAGAAGAAATATAATTTTAACATAATTTTTACTACAATATTTTCCCCGTGTGTCGCCAAGAAACGATATACGATCTTAACTTAGGGATCTTAACTCGATATATCTTGTATACGTTATTTTTGCATTTGTTATTGTCACTATTGTTGTATTTCTCGCGAGACCTCATAAGACGGACCGACGTCAGCGAAAGATGGCAAATTTCTCCTGCGTTACTAACTCGACAGAATAAATTGGTCACAAACCAATTGTCGACGCGATCGTAAGCGACACGTATGTATGAAAAAGAGAGAAGGGTTGACTACTATGAATTTCATCGGAGGACGATATCGGTCTTCCGGAGAACCCGGCGACGCGGAAGAACGTAATTGGCGCGATCATGAAGCTACGCGGTGCGTCAATAGACGAACAAATGTCGCGTGATGTTCCTTTGACGATTTTCAGCGGCGGATTACGTACCTAACGAGAGATACCTCTCTCTTCTCTCATTTCCTTCTTCGCATGTATACGGAGAAAAATATTGCAGTTTTCCCCTTTTTCTCATATAAATTCTTTTCAATTTTATTATATTTCTACACTGAGAGAGAAAGAAACGGGCTAATCTAACTAAAATTATTTTTGACCCATATGATTTAGTTTTATCCTAACACGGAAATGATAGTAATGTGATACGCATATATATAAGATTATTATTCAGATTATAGTAAAGTTTACTAAAAGAATGGTTTTCTCTTTGCCAAAATTATTTCTTTAGAAGATTACAAATACTAAACACTTTTTTCTCAGTGTAGTAGCGCAACAATCGACTGTCTATTATAAGAATAGACAGTCTATCTTGCTAAAGGGAGCGAAGTAAGTACTAGAAGGACATTGCAAATTTTTGTTTAATTAGAATTAATATTTGTCTTTTTTTTAATAGCACATACACATCTCAGTTTCTAAAATATAAATGGCATACACGCAATAAGAGAAAAGTCAATTACTACAAGATGTGGATTTGCTGCTCGGTTGCAAACATTCTCAAATGACTTTTGCTATAAATTACGTAGAAATTAACACATCAACGATACAACGTGCTTGTACCGAAGTAACGATGTGTACCCCGACGCTCATTGCGGCGCTCTGAATCCGACAATCTGTTTCAGTGATACCGCAGAGCTGCAAGTACAAAGGTGCCAAGTTCGAGTGCGGCCTCAGCATTAGCTGCGTTTTGGGCGGCGGTCGACCGGTTGACCTCTGTTCCGGAGGCATGATATGGAGCTGCTGCGTGGACGACGACGACATACCTGACAAAGTACCGCGACCGAGCGTGGGTTTGCTGCAGAATGCCAGTAAGTTCCCGACGCGAGCGAATTCGGTGTGCGCGCGCGCGCAAGTGCATTTAAGGAAGAGGAGAATTATAACTTTATTGCGCGCGAAGAAGCTCTCAATCGAGTCGCGCGCCTCGACTGACTCTCGTGATCCGTTTTACCCGTCGTCACGGCACGGTGGGTGGCTTCACGACATCTGGAAGGGGGCCCCGTGTCCTCGAACGTTACTGATTTCTGAACCGAGACTTCGCGGTTGTATTGCGTATTTAGCGCGGGCGACTCTTCCGCGCTTTTATTTTACTACACTGTTTCTACACTAAAATTTGAAACGGTTATTTGGGCGACTTTTACATTCTCTAAGGTAAAACTTTTTCATACACCGTGAGAGAAAAATATCTAAAAAATAAAGATATTTATTCGCGCACGGTGTGATCATTAGTAACACATTCGCTTACACTAATTTCTACTCTCTTAAAGTGAATCAGTGAATAGTTACTGATCAGTTATAAGTATAGCACTGAACACTGAAAGTGCAACACTTATAACTGCAAATCAGTGTATATTCACTGTTTTCAGTGATGTTTCACTGATTCATTTTAAGAGAGTATATACAGAATGGAAAGCTGAAGATGTGTTACAGGCTATTATTTCTAAAACTAAGCAAAAATAATAATAATGACCTTATATGTCACACCACTACTATTTTTCTATAAGGACAAAACCAAAGCATATGATTCCAACCAAAAATAACTGCAATTGTTTGATTAATCATTTCTTTCTCTCAGTGTAGAAACATAATAAAATATAAAAGTGCCTTGTGAATCTAAAATCTTTAATTTCGAATGTCGCTCGTGCAAGTCGTCGGGCAAGGCGACGTGTTCGAGCTACATGCGATGCAGAACAAATGGACCATTCGTCGTGCTCAGTATTTGACGCAAAAAACAGAGCGCGCGAACGAGTTTGCGTTTGAATCAATTCCTGCGGAGAATGTAGACGCACGCAACATTATCTCGCGTCAGAGTTATCAGATCAGAGTTAATCGGTTTGAATGATTGCGTTCGGAGAAGGTTGAGAACGTCCGGCTGAGCAGAAAGGAGACGGCTGGAAGTAACCTGATTTCTACCCGGCGACATCCGAAATTACACAACCTAACATTCAGCGGACGTCGCGCTAGCGAGCGCACCGACGACGACGACGACGACGACGACGACGACGACGACGACGATGACGCCCGCCGCGACGGTACACAGCCGGGGCACTTTCAAATACAGTTATTCACACCTAGTTTGCGACAGAGTCGTCGCCCACGGAACTTTACGCGAGCGTGCTTTCTCGAGTTACCGTGAATCGTACACCGTAACCGCGTGACCATCAATACAATGGCGCGATTAGGAACACGCGAGGAAATAATGTCACCTGGACTGGAATAAGACAATCGCGAATTATCGTACGTGTGCGCGCTTCCTAGTTACACTTACGTTTGCACGCCACGCGATTTCTCATCCGATTCAACGAGAATGCTCCGCTCAACACCCGCATTCGACAACGCCCACATCACCGGACATTCGGTAACTCCCTAAAAGATTGTATCGTTGGGAATTTAATTATCAGTAACCCTTATATACTGTGCTGGTCACAGTTGTTTGGATGACTTTTGCAGTCTTTGAAGTAGAATCGTACACTGAGAGAGAAAATATCTAAAAAATAAGAAATATATATATTTATTCACGGTGATCATTAATAACATATTCACTTACACTAATTTTTATGTATAGAGTGTAAAGTTAAAGATATTACAAGCTATTATTTCTAAAACTAAGCAAAATATAAATTTTTTGTTTTTTATCAACCGTCGAAGTTAACATTATTGCATTGGAAAGTAACATATTATAGAATTATTTATTATTATTATTTTTTAATATTATTGAGAGTTAGTTTTTTTATAGATTCTCTGGAATCGTTAAGGTAAAGCTAAGAATACTTTGATTTTTTTACTATCAATGTAATAGCTTGTAATATTTTTAACTTTATATTCTGTATATAAGATAGAATTTCTATCTGTATATCCCCTTTTAACTCCCAAATCCTTTGACCGATTTAGACCAAATTCTACATAGTTACTCTCTAAAATCCTGCGGGAAATATAAGTTACTTAGACACACTCCTATACCTGATTTCATTCCCTTGACACTTTATGATAAGAATAACGCCAAGTAGTTTATAAACTAGTACGAAATATTTTTCTAAGAAAATGTACATTTTCCTAAAATTTTTGTTTAGTTTTTCATAAAAATAATTGTTTATTCTGTTTAAATAAAATGATTTGGATTTAGTTTTTAGTACTTGGCTTTAGTTTCTACATTTAGAATATGTTATTAGTATATCGAATAAATATTTTTTTATTTTTTAGATATTTTTTCTCTCAATAATATGTTAAAGAGTAGATTGGTAAAAAATATAACACCCTATCGTGTCACTAAAATAGCTTCCCGGGGTTAAGGGTTAAGACCATTCTGCATCTATCGCAATGTCTGGCAAGTAGATACAACGCACGTCGCAACGATGACCGCAAAAACTGGCTCCGATTGTTACAAATATGACACTATCTAACAACGGCCAATTAAAAGCGTCAGTAATATGAAAATTGCATCGTTGACCCTTCTAATTGCTGTTGTATTTGTACGCACTGAGAAAAGAAAGATCTAAGAAATAAATATTTATTCGGTGAATATTATAACAACCTATTTGCTTATTCTAATATAAAATGTTTTTCAAATAAAAAAATATACGTATCCGCCGAATAAATATTTTGTAATTTTCTGATATTTTTTTCTCTCAGTGTGTGTGTATAACAGTTGAAATTGAGTCAACTTTTGCGATCATCGTCGCGACGAGCATTACATCTGTTTGCGATTAACATAAAAATTGCGATAAACGTAAAAGAATTTTAATGATGACAAATTGTGAACCAAACAATCTCGCGAAGTATGTTCGGCTGCCAAACGGTTCACACATATTTTTCTCAATAAAGTTGCAGCGCTGCAAGTTGTCACAATTGAAAGACACCGTTGACGCGTTTGCGTAGTAATCGTTTTAAGTCTCGAAGTAACCTTATACATGATGTAAATATTGATTCTTTATTATACTCTTATCTAACAGATAAGAATGTAATCAAGATATTCACATTTCTCTTGAATCTTCTGAGTTGTGACATCCCATATGTTTCACTTCATTTCTTATCATAACCGAGTACTGGGCAAACTTGTGATAACTTGCAACTTCATTGGGAAAAATGTATGCAAACCGCAATCAAGCATACAAAGCATCTGTTATCATCAAACACAGGCCACCACAAGTACTGACTCGAAGGCCTGTTATTAATAATCGTCACTTGAAACTTGTCGCACGTGAAACACTCAGGTCGGAATTTAGAGCTGAATCTAAATATTTTAGTTGAATCATATGACAATAATGTCATACTTGTAGTCGTGATTCAGCTGAAAAGCTCTAACATCTAACTCTAGATTGAACTCACTTGAGGCAGATTTCAAGTAACGACTATTAGTACAGGTCAAAATCAACCACGGAGCTCAACGTGAAATTCCGAGTAGCTAATAAGACAATCGGCAATCATTGTATACCCGCGCACTGTCCTTATATGACACGCGATTTCCAGTTCAATTCGGCGGGGACGCCCAAGTTCAACACAGATCGCCCATATCATTGAACATTCGGTAATTCCCTAATGATAGCAAACTCTCAACGGCGTAATCTCGCGGAACACAGAGTTATCGCTGTGTTATCGGGCCCAAAGTCTGTCGCCGAGCCGCGACGCGAGATTCCGAGTTGCTAACAGCAGCATCGTTACGTTGCCCAGCGTTTTCCATAAACCTCGGCCACCAACAGCCATACGTGGACGACGACGTGCACATTTACAGCAGCGACCTGCGACCCAGCAGACCCTCCAGCCATCGACCCGCGTATTCACACGTGGGTGGCAGCGTCGGCGGCGGGGGAAGTAAACCGAACAACCTCTACGATCCGTCATACGCGATCTGGAGCCACGATCGGCCGACGAACGATCTCGCGATCGGCCATGAACCACCGACGTACACCACTCGTCCGTACCACACGGTCCAGCTGGACTATCCGCAGGGCGAGTACGACGCCGGCTACCCGGCTCACGCCTCCGGCGTGCCGATCGAGGACTCGTCCAACGCTGTGGACTACTCCAGATACCGTGGTAATCGCATGAGAACGCGGACCGCCGCACGCGGACGCACGATGTGTGTCGAGCTCGCGAATCGTCGAAATCCCTGATATCGCGCGATCCTAACTGAGTTTGGCGGATCCGACGCTGTTGATATAAACTTGAATACATAGACCGTGCCTTCGTACGAAAAGTTGGAAGACAAGATTTGAAGTAGCTGTGTTTCCCTCCCATTGGCCAGGCATTTGATCTTTATCTGGCTTGATTTCGTTCAGCTTCAACAGGAGTCAAGGTTGACAACTATCGAATGTCTGAACTAGAAAGTCTTATAGAAAGAGAGAGAGAAAGAGAGTAAGCTCGATCACATAACTGGATCTCTGATTGGCACCAAAGTGTCTTGTGTAGATACAGGTATAGAAATAGATAAGAAAAGCTAGTTCAACACAGAACTCAAAGTTGAGTTCGATTCAACGCTAACAAATCAGAAGAGATCTTTAAACTCTTTTACTACCAATGAATCATATATTTTTCTTATCATTAATAATAATCTTATTCGATTAAATAAAGTTTTTTTGGCATTTAGAACACATCAGCTCTTACTCTACTCATTACCGTTGGGACAAATATGTCTTTTCAAAAACCCCAGTAAGATATCAGTGTCTTGAGCTTATCCTTTGACGCCAAACATAACACTTTTAATTTTTTGCTAAAACAATATTATTATTAATGTATTTAATGAAGTAAAAAAGAATTGTTTCTTTAAAAACAAAATTAGTAGAGAAAGAGTTAATATATTCAAACATCAAGTTCAAATACACATCTCTTCTGATAGACTAAAATTAACAATATACTTACAGAGACCTGTTTGTTACAGCGCGAATAAGTTTTTTTATCTATTTCCATACCTACACAATATTTATACCTACACAAGGATCTTTGACCTGGAACCAATCGGAAGAGGTGCGATCACGTACTCGACTAGTTTACTAGTCTCTTCCTATAAAGCTCTCTAACCTACACTAATATCTTCTAGGCAAATCTTCACAATGTTGGACATTGATCGATTAAAAGTTGTCTTAATTAAAATAATCGTCAAATCAATGTACATTTAATCAAATCGAAGTTTGGCTAATAATTAATTTAATCGATCAATTAAGTTATTCCTGACTTTATATATGACGATTTATTAACATTGATTGCTGATTTACTGGTTATTTTAGTCAACTAACTTTTCAATCTATTAATGTCCAACACTGTGTCTTCGCAGTCTCTTGTGAAACTCTCAGTCTATAATATGAGAAGTTTGAAGACAAGTTTAAGGACAACTATTCCCCTTTCTCTGGCATGCTTCCACAGGCATTCGATCTTTGTCTAGTTTGACTTTGTCTGGCTAGTTAGCTCCAATAAGAGTCAAGCTAGACAAAGATCGAGTGCTTGCACTAACAGGACATCCTCTTCTAGTCAAGTTTTCGCAGCCTCTTGTGAAGTGCTCTGTCTATGTATATAAGTCTGTGGTATAAAGAAAACGATCATTCGATCCTGGTCTCGGCGAGAAAGATCGACGAACCAGACTCGCAATATCGACAGCACGGGACAGCAGGACTCGGAGTCGCGTGACTGTGATTTCGTAGACTTTAGATGTCTGGTGTGCGCTTGTTTTACATTCACTGAGCCTTGTCAGACTGAGCTGTGATGGACTGAAGTTCTTCAAGACGAGTCTTTTCACGAGCGCGCTTGATTGTTGACGTGGACTATTACGATCGCGGTGAAGAAAGCGCGACTCGATCTGATCACGTTAGATCGCGGAGGACAGGTGTCGGTTTTGAGATGGTTTTCCAACCAGCGTAATCTAATAGACGACTCTGGCAGACTTTGTATCACGATTGACTGATTGACTGATTAATTGAAAGAATCGCTGCGAAGTACGGTTGTAACGATAAAACGCGACGAGACGAACAAGGTGGACGAGTCTGCAAGACAAACGACGTCTATCTATCACAGGACAATTAGAAGAACCGCAATTATTAGCCTGGAGCCTGCCACAACAGCCCCCAGATATACCGATTTTACAAATGGACTCTTTGAGTGATCATTAAATTTCACGATCAAGACTACACCCAAGCACGCACGCAATCTCTCGCACGGAAAACTGCACGAAAACTGTGGGTGCTTTCGCCGACGCACCGTCGCACGTTTTCCCGCACTGAGTGTCACTGGAAAACAATCGGAAAACTGAACTCTATGGAAAGGAACGCCGGGAAACATGGTGAAATAATTGCATGAGTCGGAGGACTCGAAAAAGAAGCGATAAATGACAAAGACGAGAATAACTTGCGCGACTTACACAAAGGGAAACAAGAATAATATTTACTTAGTTTTAATTTCCTCAAATCTAAACCGCCCTTTGGTTGCTTTAAAAATTTATAGAAGATAAAAACGAGATGGGCTAGAGCGGCATCCCCTATATCGAGATGCGTGACTTGGACTTTTCCCAAAGAAATATAAAAGTGTTCGTATCGCTCGACTGCGCGTGAAATTCAAGCCTAGATAATAATAGACCTACAATCACATTTCCAATTTTTTATGGATGCATAAAGTTGATTATCTCATATTTCTATCTTCTCTCCCTCGAAGATCTTCAAGAAAATCGCGAGGAGATTTCATCGCCAAGAAAGCCTCGCGTTCATGTTTCAAACGTATCTTTCCAACGTGTGAATGTAATTACATGACAAACAAACAAAAGGATTCTCGGGGATCGCGTGAATTCCCCGACATCGCACCCACGTGTATTTTCTGCTTTCTGTCTCTCTCCGAGACTCACGAACGATCTTGAAAACAAACCACGCTCAAACGCCCGCTTAACTTGACTACAACGAGACGATCGCAGAGATAGCGATCAGCTAACGAGTTCTGAGTGCAAGCTTACGCCACGTGTGTTTGGTATCCCCCGTGTGTTTTCTCCTCTCAAATCGCACGTCAACTATCGGCTCTCACGATCGCACGCGCATTTCTGTTCACCCAGGCTCGCCATCATCACACATTGTATCACTCACATAATAATAAAAAAAAAAAAAAAAAGAAAAATATGCCGACACCTCAAGGTATCCTCTGACCGCACGCTCGGAACTCACGATGACTAAATCAGCTCGTCGTCCTTTCAGGCTGCGGCGAGCTTTACACCAGGAGCAACAGAATCGTGGGTGGGCACTCGTCCAGTTTCGGCAGCCATCCATGGCAGGTGAGATTCTTCTTCTTTTTCTTTTGCCTTTGCTATTCGCGAGAGAAGCACGGCCTCTTTCCTCCCTCGGCCCTATAAATATATCTCTCGGCTCGACCCGCAAAAGCGACACGCTTCTCTTTTACCTCTCTGCATTATTCATCGGCAACGAGCCATCAATTTGCTCGGTTCGTCGTGTAGAGACAGGGTGGACGAGTGAACGAGAGAGAAAGAGAAAGAGAGAGAGAGAGGAAAAGATAGAGACTCTGCACGAGAGAGGCGCGAGGGAAAAATAATCTATTAAATCTCCACCATAGGAGATCGCAATGAGTCATGACGCACCGCAAATATATATTTCATGTAATGCGCCGGTGCAACGGGCCCGGCCGTGTGTATTAGACGTACGATTCTTTTGTTGCAGGCCGCCATCATCAAGTCGGGATTCCTCAACAAGAAGCTATCCTGCGGAGGCGCCCTGCTGAACAATCGATGGGTCGTCACCGCGGCGCACTGCGTCGCGACGTTAGTATTTCATTTTCGTTTAATTGTCATTTAATTATTCATTACCGACGGATAACCAATATTAACCCGATGTGTTTCACACCAGGACACCGAATAACAATCTGAAGGTTCGACTCGGGGAATGGGACGTGCGAGATGCGTCCGAACGGTTTCTCCACGAGGAATTCAATATCGAGAGAAAAGAGGTTTCTGTCATTTCATTTCTTAAGTGTTGGATTGAGTCAAATCGACGCTACTTTGGACGTGCAAATTTCAGTCGGTTTTTCGCGCGGTTGACAATCGAAATTCGCGCGAAGTTTCGAACGCGCGTCGCGAGAAGCTTGCAAAATAATTGTATACAGAGTCGAACCCAGACGAAGTGGTTAACAGCGCGATTACGATAAGAACCGGTAATAACAACAGGTACACCCGCAATACTCGGCCACTGACTTCCGGAACGACGTGGCTTTGGTGAAGCTGTCCAGGACGGTAGCTTTCAAACAACACATCGTCCCGGTCTGCTTGCCGGCGAGGAATTTGAAGCTCTCCGGCCGAACCGCAACCGTCGCTGGTTGGGGACGAACCAGGCATGGCCAAACTTCGGCGCCATCCGTACTTCAGGAGGTCGACGTCGAGGTGAGTATCATTAAAATAAAAGTGTTAATTCCCGGATACGTACCTAGTTTTGAACATTTTTATTGTTTTACTCTTTAAATACGAATATTTAAACTTCCAATGTAATATACATGCACATATACACACATGTATTCTATGTTGAAAATATTCGTATTTAAAGAATATATGTATATATAACGAGAAAAAAAGCAGTTGAATCAACAAAAAATCAGCGGTCACCTGTATTTTCAAAGAAAGGTATCTATTAAACAAATTAGTGCAGCAATAAATTGCGTTGATGTAACTATTAATCAAACCGCAAATATTAGATCAATTGATAACTTATTACAGTAACTATATAATTTGTTCAATCGACTAAATCGTTTGCTTGAACAAATTTTGTTCGTCAACTCGTTAACTCAAACACTTTTTTCTCAGTGTATTTTATGCTAAAAGTTTAAATATTCGTATTTAAAGACCAAAACACTAAGAATATCCAAGATTAAGTATATGTTCGGGAATTAGTAGGAGAGACCGGGTCAAAATGGCCAAGAATATTTGCTCATGTGCTTTTTTTAGTATTTATCTTAAAGGTAACAATGGATACAAAAACGCGAAAGTCTTTTTAGATAAAATATATAGATACTTTTCCCTGAATTTTATTAAAATCGGAATAATATTACAGTTAAAAAGTAGGAAAAATTGATTTAATAGTAGTAAAGTAAGTTTTCGAATCTCTTGAAATTTAATTCAATTAATAATCTCCATAGTAAGTGAATAAAGTTAAACGACGTATTAAATGAAATTTCTTGCAAATGTATGATATACTGTTTTGAATAATAAAGGAAATTATCATTTATAAAATGATTAAAATCAAGCATATGGGCGAATAAGGTAAAGTTTGCCCATGATTAAAAGTCTCTCGTGAAAAACTCGATATTATTAATCAGGATACATTTTGTATGTACACTACACTATTGAACAACTGAGTTTAATACTAGGACAAGTTAACCACATTGCTATATGTTTGTATTTTATTATAAAACAAAATACATATTTAAAGTCACGACGGATATTAACACATAGAAGAAAACTGTCTCTTATTAGATTTGATTTCCGAGTTTGAATCGCGTGGATTCTTCTTTGTCTGATTCTAGTCTCTATTATGTTTGTACAGTCACAATTAATTTTTTGAAAAGTTGTAACTTCGAAATTCTGAGATGAGATATCTAACCTCTGTCTCTCCTACTTTCATCTTACTCTCATTCGACGCACTCATCTTTTGTTGCAAAATGTCTCTTCTTGGACGAATCGTGTGCGCATGTATGTTATACGCGCGATAATAATTTTATTTCAGGTATTAAAAATGATTGGCAAATTTTCATATTGTATATATTCGTGAAATTAATTATTGCCAATATGAGAAGTCGACGTCAAGAATTTTCCTAACGAATTTACGCGATAAAATAAATGTCACATTACGATTAAGACTTGACTGACGATATGTTTTTGCTGTAATACGTGGCGTGACGTTTTTCTACGTTTTCAGGTAATACCGAACGAGAGATGTCAAAGGTGGTTTAGGGCAGCCGGCAGAAGAGAAACCATTCACGACGTATTCCTATGCGCGGGTTACAAAGAAGGTGGACGGGACTCCTGTCAGGTAACGGGGATAATGTCGCGTGTCAATGAAGTAGCGTCGCGTCTGAAGCCGTGAATTAACGTTTGCGAATTAATGCTCAACAGGGCGATTCCGGCGGGCCGCTCACGATGTCTGTAGAGGGCAGACATGTCCTGATCGGTTTGGTTTCCTGGGGCATCGGCTGCGGTCGCGAACACTTGCCCGGTGTGTACACCAATATTCAGAAATTCGTGCCGTGGATCGATAAGGTCATGAGCTAAAGCGGAGAAGAGACTGTCTCGTCTGAGTTCCTTCGAAAGTCGAGTTGCTTTACCCAAGAAGAAGAAGAAGAAGGAGAGGAGGCAAAAGAAGAAGAACAAGGGGGACAGGGAAAAGAAGAAATATTTGCGAGAAGAACGACGCGTAGTTACCAAAGTCTTAAGAACATTCTTTAAGAACTTCCGCGGTCCATGCTCAGTTAATCGACCGTTCTTGAAGGACTCTCATCGTCGAAAACACTAGGAAACCCGATGTTTCGTGCATTATATTCGAAAGTGCTAACGCGCGCACGGAAGATTAATTAACGAAGTTACGGCGGATGTATTCTGATGATCGAACTTGGCGATGGCAGAACAGAATACTTAAGACATTAAGTAGCGATGCATAGAGATGTTTAACGCGAGGAGCATTTATGCCGGTTTATAAGCTTCGCTGTTGTTACTCGAATCGCAAATGATTTTTTACCTTGCATATTAAGATCGGAAGATACGGTTTGCTTCCGAGTTGTTTAAGTGTTTGCCTTCAAATTTGATACAACAAATTGTTGAGTCGCGAAATAAGAAAAAAAGAACGTTAGACTAATATTATTGACTTCCGACAATTATGTCCGATAATTTTATGCCGCCTACTTGATGAATTTAAATAAAGAAGTTTTACTCTTATGATGAAGAAATGTGCAATATATATTTTTATACGCGCGCGTGCCGGTTATTCGTGATAGACTTTTAGCATTTTGATTTTTTTAAGAGATAAATTTTCAAACGAAGAGATCTATTTTACCAACGAGTACGAAGGAGCCCGCTTTAACCTTTCGCAGATACGTTACTTCTTCAGTGAGTGAAACTTCAACGTCGATAACTTATCTTTTGTTACCGACTACCTGTAAATACGGACACCGCCTATCCGTTAATTCGTAAACACTCTCGCAGGATAATTCGAATATTTTCGGAATTTATCTTCGACAATTGCCGAGGGATACTATGAACAACGGCAACAATTACTAATAATTTTACAATCCAAATCTGTTTCAGTTAAATGACAGTTTTTTCACAAATTCTATCCTATCCTTTAAAATATAATTCTAAACATTGCTTGCACTTCAGAAACTCATTGATTAAATACAAACACTTCAAAAATAAAAAAAACAGTTGAAAAACCAGAAAACAGAAAGAAGCTGATATTTTCAGCAGAGGTAATTATTGAAACGTGGAACGTCGTTGAAAATTTGAGATAGAGATAACTTAAGGTAGGAGCTTGGAATTTAAATTTTTTTAAATAGATAAGATGAAAAAGAGATATAGATTGAATAAAAAATTGAAAAGTCTTAATATCTCAAAAAAATTGTTTAGCAATCTCTCTCTCTCTCTCTCTCTCTCTCTCTCTCTCTCTCTCTCTCGTAATATTTTTTTATAAAATGAAAAAATTTGTAAATGATAGAGTGGAAAGAGAAATAGGTCGAAAATAAAAGATAGCAAAGCTCCTAATAGCGAACCTTTTGCTTGAGAGCACATTCGCACGGATCCGCTCCTGTCCTCAACGAGAGCAGAGAAAGAGGACGGGGTTGGGCGCGGAGAATGCGCGCGCGAGAAGTGCACCTACCCCGATGCAGAGGGTGTCGGGTGCGGCAGGAGGGAGAAAGCGAGAGCAATGGTGGAGGGTAAGTTGCTAATTAGAGCCAGATTAAACGCTTGTCTGGGGAGCCATTTTCCTTGCCGTTCCTCGCCGTGGCCGTAGGAGGATGAGCCGGGAGGAGCAAGAGGGGTGGAAAACTGGGGGGTTGCGGGGGCGGCCGACACTGCGAGAGAAAGGAGGAGGAAGTGGAGGACGAGGAGGAAGAGGGTGGGCGCCGGGGAGGTGAACGACGGAACGCCGACGCCGGCGGGAGGGGCGGGCTTAATGAAAAGTGTTTGCCCCGTAAAAGTTAAGATTAATTGGCGCTCGGGGGGTGGTTACCGCGATAATCAGCCCGGGCCAGTGGTTTTCAAACCCACCCACTGAATCGCCGTTCTCCTTTCGGGAGCTGTGATCGGGTACGCGTCGGCTGGTTCTTCCCGAGCCGTCCGTTGATCGTGTCCATATTTCGCGATGCCGCGTCGCGTCTCGCGGGGGTGAAAAGTACAGTGATTAGGCGCGAATTCACCGCGGCGCTGGTGACTCCTTTACGACCTCGTGGAAAATTAACTGTAAAAATGTATTCTGCCGAATGCTCATGGTCAAAATAAATTCTCTCTCTTCAACTTTGACTATCATATTTTTGCTATCGATATGGCGACGACGAAAACGCCGCTAACTTCAAGAAGAATTCCGCGACAATTGTGTGTCTATATTTCTGTAGAAAATCGCGATTTTCTTTTCAATCGTGCAACGACGAAACACTAATCAAACCCGTGATCCTTCTCCATCGTTTAAGGAGTTTCTTCACCAGGTATGTACATTCAGGGCACACAAGGAAAATATTTTCAGTGGCACATTGAGCAAGTTACTCATTAATTCATTATTTATCAAACAAAATTACGTCTTTATGTTTCACTATCTATGTAAATAAATGTTGATTTGAAATTAATTTCATGATATCATTTTGTTGCGTTTCGCTCAGTACAATACTGCTCAAAGCACAAAGCCACAGCTTTTCGGCCTACAATCGACCATTACTCAAAAACGGTGCAATAAATACTGTGCTTTCTTCTACGTCGCGCTTTCCGATATGTAGAATTTACAGTTTCTTTTTTTATTTGGATGATATCGTTTTTCTTAAAATTACACTAGAATAATAGTTATCTAAATTACCTCCGTCATAAGATTATATATGCAAAATTGTGATATTGAGTTTCTCATCAACGGTACAGAGAGATCGCGAAACTACGAAATGTATTTTATCGCGATAAATGTTACGTGAGATTTTTCTGTAGCTTTGAGCACATTTTGCTTCGAGTGAATAAACTCGTGAACTCCGCCCAAGCCGGTAATTGCAGTCAGAAGCGCGCATTCAAATTTGTATCAGAAGCTCGCCGGGAATAACCGATAAAGCGGCGTTCTATTATCAGCGATAATCACGAGGCGACATAATTAGAGAAATTTAATTACGCGTTTTTCTCCGCGCGGCGCCTTCGTTCACGGTTGAGCACAGCTGGAATGGGAGGTTAATTTGGCGACACCTAGTTTCATTAACAACGCCATTAAAAGTAATGGCCGGCGAGGGGGCGAAGTCGGTCGCAAGGCCTCCTAGGGGGTTGGGAGATTCTAATTACGGACTAGGACTTCTCTCCGGAACGGAGTACGTAAGGCGGGGTGGCGACGGCGGCGACGGCGGCGGCGACGACGGCGACGGCGGTAACGGCGGGGG